GGGCAGTCAATCTAAACATCTCAGGTCTATTAAAAATTTGAGGTGAAAAAAATATATATACATAAATGGAAAAACGATGTAGAATTGGTGCCTACGGAGACTAATACGAATTCTGTTTTAAAAAAAACAACGAACAAAGTCATTTACACAATTTCGTTCATCAAGGCAGAGGTGAAGTTGTAATTATATCACTGGATTCTCCCCCTCCAATTGCACCCCTCCCGCCTAACTCATCCTCACCCTTTTAATCAATATCAGCGGTTAAGGTGTCGAGGTTGCGAGAACCGTGCATTACCTCCACATCCCCTCCCTTCCCGCCATCCCCACCGGCCCCTCCCTGTGGTGTCAACGGTGATTGCGCATCGCCTTTGCCAGTGCATAAAGACGGTCGCAACTGACTCTCCGCCACGCTCGGCCCAACATCAAATTCTGACTCGATCTCGGATCTGCCTTGCATTGCAGCATTTGTTATCAATAAACTCCCGTACGTGACACCTGCATCCGACAGCAACGTCGTTGACACCTCGATGGGCGGGGACGATTGTGCCGCGGCGACCGAGATGGATTTTTCCGATATTTGCGGCATTGACGTCATGTCAACCTCTTGAGGCCCGACAACAGTAGTCCTGTCATCTTCCTTGTGCACTGCTTGTGCGGCCACGGAGGCCGGCTGAGCCGAAGGCATGAAATCATGAGAGCAGCTCCCCTCCAAGGTTCTGGCGGTTTGATCACCGGTAGCAATATTGTTTGTTTCTTAAGTTTATCCCACACGATATGACGTGCGCTGGAGGCAACCCGTTTGACCTCCGCCCGAAGCAGATCGAGCTTATCGATTGAGGTGTATACAAACGCCTTAAAGTGGAACGGAGCCTCCTTATACATTGCCGCCGTAGGGCCCAAGCCTGATCCTTGCCTTGCCTCCTCCACCCCTCCAAGCCGTCGAGGGACCGTCTTCACTTTGCTGACATGCAACTTGTCCTGTTCCTTCTCCCATTCAACTGCACACAGATCGTTCGGCCCATACCTGTCTTTGAGGTCCTTGTATGACATGAAGAAGGCATCTTTCCACTCATCGTCCGCCCTTCCCTCGGTGTGAAAAACAACGTAGTTAAACATACGGACCATATATCGTTCCTTGCGCATGATGTCGAGGAGGCACTCCGTATTCACTCTCGGAGGCATGACCTTGACGTTCGTCGCGACCACCTTCCCTTTCATGAGGAGGAGCAGTGCAACTTCCCTCTCGCGGCACGTCAAATCCCCAAAATTTTTGAGGTAGGAAGGACAGAGATCCTTCCACGACACAGTGGAGCCTTTGGGACCATCTCTCGCGTATATGCAATGGTATAATGTTCTTTGCCCCTTCGTCTCGTCAGTGTACGGGCCTGGCTGGCGCCCCTCCATCCTACCCGGCATGTCAAGCGGACCATCGCCAACTGACAGCTTCCCCTCGTTGAACATCTCGAAGAACTTCTCGACCAGTGGCCACACAACCTCGGTGGATGTGGCGAGGTTCATGTAGCCACGGAGTTTATTGCCCCAATCCTTACTGTACTCATTCTCGAGTGCTTGCTTCACGAACGCCTTGTCGCATGCCTTCCCCATGGAGGCCCTTAAGAAATTCTGCCACTTCTTTTGGTGCGCAACGGCGACTGCATCCTTATTGCTGACCTTGTCTTTCGGGGCCTCGATTCGATGGTTATCGATCCACCATTGCCGCATATCACGGACAACATCCTCGAAGGACAACATCATGGCCCCATTTTCCCGCGTGTTGTCGAAGGCGGAAACATTGAAATACCCTTGCGTCTGGTCAACTCCAAAATAGACGACCCGCACCTTAGAGTACGTGCGAAGGCCATAGACGTCGACTGCCGGAGAGCCCTTTTTTACCAATGTCTTCATGGCCTCGACCGTATGCTGACCACAGACAGCATACCAATCGAACTCCGAGGAGTCTCTTTTGAAAATTCGGTCGGTGTTATCTGCCTACCCTGCCCGCCAACAATGTCGTTGCGGTCAACCGGCGCAAGCACGAGGTCAGGCCTATCCCACGCCCCCGGTTCCGTGGTGATGGAACTCTCGATGACATTCACGATGCCTCGCACAATGTTCGCAGACAAAAAGTGGTGGTTGAAAAGAATATTCCCACGGGGAATGCGTTTGATTTTCATGACGTCCACAAGAACAGGAAGGACTTTTTGCTTAGCAAAACCCCGCTCATTGTACCCGAGGAAGAAACAACGCGTCATGTCGATGGGCGCAGCGTGCTGAAGCGGTTCATCACCATCGTCGGGCATGCGAGGGCCCACTCCCTCGCCCTCATCCCCTGAGTCCCGCAGTTCTTCTGCCCTCACTATCTGCTTACCTTTTCTTGCGCCACCAAGGCCGCCGCCACGACCGCCAGATCTTCCCCCCTGGCTGCTCTTCAGAGGAGGTCTCACCTCCTGGGATGCCACCAGAGCTCCACGAGCCTCATTAACAGCGTCAATCCTCGCTTGTCTCTTGTGAGCAGAAGCAGAAGGAGAAGTTTCTTTTGTCCTTTTCCTCGACTTTGATCCTCCTTGCTCCTGCGAGTCATGCCCACCCTGACTCCCGCCTTGCAAAGGCCATATCGCAGGGGACGACAAGGGCCGACCAACAGCCGCTCCCACAGAACCGGTGGGGATGTCGCCAGGGCCATGCTCCGACGTGACATCGACGTCGTCATCGCCAAGCATATTTTGGTCCTGCATGTTCTCATCCCCAACGTCCATATACTCGTCGTCATCTTCGTCTTCACGTGGACCGCAGCTTCCCCCATCTTCTTCCTCCTCGTTTCGCTCAGTGAAGGCAGTCGCACCATTCAGGGCACTGTCACGCGGAGCATTGCGTCCGTACAGATTTATGTCATCATACTCCGTAGCCTCGCTGGAACATTGAGCGATATCATGACCTCCCCTCACCGTGGGCAAGGGCGAGGGCGACGCAGCTGGAAAAGGCGGAGCTGGACAAGCAACCAACTGTTTCCTCTTCCCAACCGGCGCGGATGGCGTCTGTCGCGATTTCCTCGAGCTCGTGACAAAGGGCACGAAAGCGTAGTCGGCTTGCTGGTCTAGAGGCAGCCTCGAGAAGGCTTCCCTGTACTCCTTAACAACGCCTGGCAGTTGGTCCGCCGGGCTGCTGAATTTCACCAAGGGTTTGGTGAGCTCCAAGGAACTTTCAACGATAGGAAGGCAGCCAGTGACGCGGAAGCCGTTCGTTTTACTGAGGAACTGTTCCGCAGCCAGCATGCGAAGCTCGGTGCCATCTCCGCGCACATCAAATGCTTTCATGGAGAAAGCCTTCACGCCGTAGCCTTGAAAGAGCCGCAAGTCAAGGCCGACCTTCTTGTCTTCCTTGACCCAATTTGTGCCATCCTTGTCGAAAACTGACGTAAGAAAAAAGGTCCTGAACGACCTCCCGTCGTAGGTATTCCTAGCGCTCTCAGATTTCTCAACACCCCCACAGCAGTACCACGTCGCACCATTGTCGTCGCTCAAGAAGACGACGGCCCCACACCTAGGCCTATGCAGACCACCAACCCAGTCCAGAGCCCATGGTTTGTTGTTGTAGATTTTTGACCTGCCATATGCCCGAGAGGACGAAGCAGCAGGTTGACGAAGCAGCAGGTTGACCTAGAGGGCACAAATAAAGGAAACGCACAAGCAAAGAACAAATGAGGAACAAACAGAAGCGCTTCGCATGTGGAGTCGACCCTCGTTTCTGGAAAGGGGTCCGGCGTTCCCTAGACGCCCGCCCCCCCGACCCTCGTTTATGAAAGGGGGTCCGGCGTTCCCAGAACGCTTGCCCCCCTCGGGGCATTTATGAAAGGGGGCCATTTGCTCCCAGAATGCCCGACCCCCCACCCAATCTGAAAAGGGGTCCGGCATTCCCTAGACGCTCGACACCCCGACCCTCGTTCCCTAGACGTCCAGCGTTCCATGACCGTAGCGTGCGCGGGTCTGGCGTCCCCTAAATAGCAAACCCCACCAGCGTGACTTTTGGCACGGTAGTTGGCCGGACCCCTCCCTCGCCCGCGTCCTCGACGGAACCCCGCGGCGTTTCATGTCCGTCCCTCCTCCTCCCTGTAGCAGCACCGAGTGGGGTCCAGCGTTCCCGGAACGCCGGACCCATGTCGGTGCTGCCAGAGAGTAAGAGGCCCCCTCCCGCCCCGTCCCCGGCAACAGCACCAAGGGGATCCGGCGTTCCAGGAACGCCGGACCCCCTTTGAGCTGCGGGGGAAGAAGTGGGTCCGTCCTCACCCCTCGATGGCCACAGCACAAAGGGGGTCCGGCGTTCCTGGAACGCCGACCCCCTATGTGCGGCAAGGGAGGACGGGAACGCCAGACCCCCTTTGTGGCGCAGGGGGAGAACGGGGGTCCGAGATCCGATCCGACGATGGGCATAGCACGAAGGGGGTCCGCCCCATCCCCTCGATGACCACAACACCAAGCCCCCTCGGTGCCCCTCGCTCCCCCGAAGCGCGAAGGGGGTCCGGCGTTCCCGGAACGCTGGACCCCCTCTGCACTGCGGGGGGGAGAGGAGGGGGGGGGAACAAGGCGAGACGCACTCCTCGCTCCCCCTCGGTGCCCCTCGCTCCCCCGAAGCGCGAAG